CAGCATTTTTCAAACTTATTGTTAAAGTTTAGCTCTAACATTCTTCTCAGTCCTGGTTGCTGTTCCTAGAGTTCCTCCCTATGAACTACTCAGATCTCATCCTAGATCCTCTCTTTCTAGACAGTCACACTCACCTTCCTTATATCTAACTGGGAAAACAGGCTCTGTGACTCTGTGAGTCAGCAAAAATCACTTAACATTTCCCAGCAGGATCAACATCTGCCAGCAGGGTGGGATTTTGTATGCAAACACTGCTAGCCTGTTACATGGATATTGTGGGGTAAGATCAGACCCACCACGATACAGTTCTATTTCATTACATCCCTGCTCCCCCAACACCACAATTTAACTTTTACGAAGGGTAAACAATGAATGGGACAGTTCCCCTCACCTGATAAGAGAAAAATAAACTAGGCACAAGATCAAACTGTTCTGAAAGACAGAACAGAACTCCCTTCTGCAGAAGCCACCCCCACCAACAAAACCCCGTCTTTTAAAATATATAAAGGTCTCCATGTCTGGCTTCTAAAGTGATCGTTACGGAGTGGAACAGATTCTTTCCCTTTACCCAGACCTTCTCCTATACCCTGTCACACTATACATTTCTCTGTAATGAACACGATTATTTTCTTTTAAAGTGAGGCTAGAAAGAATGGACCCCTACACAAATAAAAAGAATATGAAGCTTAAAACCTAAACCTATAAATTTTCTATAAATTTTTCTTTCTCTAATATGTGCATACACTAGTCTGTTAGGATAGAGCTGCTCATGAATACTGAGCTGCTAACATGGATTTTATTAAAAACAAATAAAACCAAAGCATTTGTTTTAGAGGCAAAAATCACATAAGAGTTGCATGGGCTTTGCAAACAGCTAAAAAAAACAAATGAGGTTGCTTTTCACTGCATCATTTTAACACCAGGAATGGCAATGTAGTAGTGCTTCTGGTTCAGTAATAGCATACAGTGGCTTTATCACAGCACCGCTGGATTTCTCCAGGTTGCCTGGTTTCATATTTAACTTCCTGAATCCATAGCCAAGATGGTTAAAAGGGGGAAAAGAAATCTGAAAACCTTTAGATGATATTCCACTCTACGGAGCCAGGCTTGACGCTGTATCCCACACGAGGGGTAGGGCCCGAGAGATGGCGTACGAGAGGCTCACCAAAAGCTGTATAACTCTACTGGCAGATGGAAGTAAAAAACTACCCTGGACTGCAGCTAGGACTGTGTTTCCATGGAAACAGGGAAGCAGAGATACTGTTCCGCACTTGACTAGCAAAGATAAGAGGCCCAATCCTGCTGCGGCTGAAATCTATGGCAATATTTCCATTGACTTGAATGGGAGTAAGTTTGGGCCCATTAAAAAGGGCTGCACAGTGTTTATTTGTAGTCATATGCTTTTCACTGATGTAAGCCCTACTCCTCCAAAGATTTATGTATGTGCTTAAAGATAAGCAAGAACATAAGTGTGGGCAGAATCAGGGCCTTAGTGAATGTATAATATCTGCACTGGTATAAATGAGAGCTGAATTTGTCCTAGCCTTACTTTAAGACAATGTAGGTGCTGTTATCCTCTCCATCAAGCTGGTTCTGTATAGAGTAGAACAATGGCTGTACAATAATATACTTTATTTGTCTAATGGCATGTGCAGAAATGATGCATTGGCAAAATCATCTATGATATTTGATATTAATCAATATAAAACTGTTGGAAAAATAATTAGTCATATAGTTATTGTAACTATTTTAAACTTGCTATTCTATTGAGACAATGGGAAATTTATTCCACTCTATTTCTGATTTACATTATCCTTCCTTAAATGCTTCAGGAATATAAATCAGAAAATAATTTTGTATTAATATGAGTATCCTAAGATACACTCACATTTTGCCTTAAAATTTTTTAGACTAGATTACCATTAAAATGGACACTACTTTCCAGTTTTAATCTTAGGGAAAATTCCTAATAACTTCATGTACTAGTGACTGTTTTCCAGCTAGATCTGACAGTTTAGCAAAGTTAAAATGTTAAACAAAGACCCACAACAAAGGACACAAAAACCTTTAAGAGATAGAACTTTAAAACAGAATTGGCGTTAATTATTCCAGGGTACATAAGATTTTCGCAGTAGAAGGGTTACCATTTGTGATATGAATAGAGCAATACCAGTGAAATTTCTCCAAGCCTTGAATGAGGCAAATTCAGGCCTGAAATGAGACAGCTGAGGTAGTACAGTCCCAACACCTTTCTCCCAGCTCAGTTATGTTCTTTAGCTAATACTTCCTTTGCTGACAACCATCATTTTCTGAAATGTTGCCACTGATAATTAAAAAACCCTTTTCATGTGATATAATAATAAACATTTGTATATGTAGGTTTCCAATATCCAGATATATTTTGTTACTGCATGTAAATGTAACTAAAAATTGTAATTTAGGCTCTGATCCTTGAAATACTTATGCACATGCTTAACAGACACATTGCTGTTTCTTAACAGATTTGTAAATGTTTGCAGGATTGGGCCTTAAAAAAAAAAAGGCCACTATGAAATAATTTAGGTCCCACTTCAGCAGTCTTATGCACATGTTTAACTATAAGTATGAGCAGTCCCGTTAAAGTTGGGACTACCACCATAGCAAGTTAAGCATGCACGTAAGTCTTCATAGAGTAGGTCCTTAGACTTTGATTTACAAGAGAAAGGGAGAAAGAGGGTGATTGTGAATATTGAACTGTCAATGTTGTTGTTTAAAGGGGAAACAATCAATTTGAAATCCAGTTAACTTTAAAAAGATGAGTTAAAAGTAGTTTTAGGTACTACATCTACCAGTCAGTTCCCTTTCAAATTTTTATAGTTTTACAATCCTATTCTAGTGTTTAATTTCTTTCTCTCTCTCTCTCTCTCTCCTGTTGCGGTGAGAAATATCCACAGAGAAAAGCAAGGAAGGCCCCAATCCTGTAAACAAATCCAGATGGCCATAAGGTATTGCTGACATGGATCCCTTTGCACGATTAGGTCCAAACTGATTATACATATGATAAAGACTGAAAATGACTTCATACAAGGTGGTGTCAAACACACAAATTGAGAAAGCAGAGAAATTCCTCCTCCCTTCAATCTTTATTAGGCATAGGAATCTTAAGTACTACTTGTAAGGACGGGAGCATGTCCTTTCAGCCATTACTTTGAATGTTTAAAATATCGATAATGTCCCTTAAAATATTGCTCTTCAGGGCTGGAACAAAAACAACAGCACTGTGCTAGGTCATGAGACCCTCAATAGAAAACTGACTATAAACAGAAATGAAACTGACCAGTCTAGGTTCATTGCCTAGACAAACAACATAAATCTTGAAAAGCCTGAACAGTCACTAAATTTGGTAAATAATTTTTATATGCGCTAAAATAAGTCACCCCCATTGCACCCCAGCGACTTTCACAGTCTGGCTGAATATTCAGAAATTTGGTTTGTAAAACAAGGACAACTGATAATAATAATGCAAAAATTCAGGGAAGCAGTTCAATTAAACGCTGGTACTGTGAAAAAAAATTGGCCACAGAAAGAAGGGAAGCCAAGACAGAGCATTTCAAGTGACAAGTGAGAACACTTTCCCCAGTTCAGGAAAAGGTGAAGGGACAAAGTTTGGTGGCACTAGGATGAGACCCACAGTTTTTGTTTGGATCTGGGCAATTAAATCCCACCCCGTGTCCCCAGCCTTTATCCTTGTTTCAGAGTAACAGCCGTGTTAGTCTGTATTCGCAAAAATAAAAGGAGTACTTGTGGCACCTTAGAGACTAACCAATTTATTTGAGCATGAGCTTTCGTGAGCTACAGCTCACTTCATCGGATGCATACTGTGGAAACTGCAGAAGACATTATATACACAGAGACCATGAAACAATACCTCCTCCCACCCCACTCTCCTGCTGGTAATAGCTTATCTAAAGTGATCATCAAGTTGGGCCATTTCCAGCACAAATCCAGGTTTTCTCACCCTCCGCCCCCCCCCCCCAAACTCACTCTCCTGCTGGTAATAGCCCACCCAAAGTGACCACTCTCTTTAAAATGTGTATGATAATCAAGGTGGGCCATTTCCAGCACAAATACAGGTTTTCTCACCCCCCACCCCCTTTTTAAAAAAAAACACACACACAAACTCACTCTCCTGCTGGTAATAGCTTATCCAAAGTGACCACTCTCCTCACAATGTGTATGAAAATCAAGGTGGGCCATTTCCAGCACAAATCCAGGTTTTCTCACCCCCCCCCCCCACCCCCATACACACACAAACTCACTCTCCTGCTGGTAATAGCTCATCCAAAGTGACCACTCTCCTTACAATGTGCATGATAATCAGGGTGGGCCATTTCCAGCATAAATCCAAGTTTAACCAGAACGTCGCGGGGGGGGGGGGGTAGAAAAAAACAAGGGGAAATAGGCTACCTTGCATAATGACTTAGCCACTTCCAGTCTCTATTTAAGCCTAAATTAATAGTATCCAATTTGCAAATGAATTCCAATTCAGCAGTTTCTCGCTGGAGTCTGGATTTGAAGTTTTTTTTGTTGTAAGATAGCGACCTTCATGTCTGTGACTGCGTGACCAGAGAGATTGAAGTGTTCCTTGTATTTTCATCGTGAGAGCAGCAACCAGCCCTGGAGCATGGACCAGCACAACGAGGGCGGTCTCTTGCTCCCCTACTGAACCAGACCTGGCTGCGGAGAGCGGGGTCCTAACAACGTTTGACAATAAAATGGGGCCCGCTCCGCCGCCCAGGCAGGTTGCTCTGTGGGCGGCCCCAGCCCTGCCTGAGGCTGACTGGGTACCAGGTGCGCTCGGGCGCTTCCCCTGCCGCTGCAGAAGCATCCTCGCTCCGCGGGCAGAGCGCCCCCGCCAGCCCCAGCGCATAATGAGGCATGTGATTGCTGCTGTTTGTTGCTCCCGCCGCTGCTGCTGCTGCTGCTGCTGGGGGCGGGGGCGGCCGAGAGGAGGCGGGGGCCGCGGCCTGGGCATTTGCATGGGCTGAAGCAAAGCGGCTTGCTCAGGGACAGTCTGTTTTTATTTTTAGCCGGCCGCTCAGCTCGCCTTGCAGCGGGGCGGGGCGGGGACAAGGCTGGCTCCCCGCGGGGCGGCAGGACGGGGACACCAGCAGCGAGGTTGCTGCCGGCGAGCAGCAGCCAGCTGGGGCTGCGAGGTGCTCCGAGGCAGGGAGCCGCGGCCTCTCGCTGGAGGATCTGCCCGCGGCTGGGTCACTCGGCTCTTCCGTGCGAGCCTCCTGCGGCGGAGGCACCGGCAAGGCTTTGCAAATGGCCAGTCCTCGGCGAGAGCTGGAAGAGGTCGCGCCGCTGCCGCAGCAGCAAGCTGCCCGCCCTGAGCCAGCCTTCGGCGAGGCGCGGCGCTGGATCGAGGTAAGGAGCCCTCGCTCGTCGCCCGGTCAAGGGGCACCCGCTGAATGTCTCCTTTGCCCTGCGGGAAGCATCTCGCTACAAAAGAGGAAGGACCGGCCAGTTTTCCTCCCCTCAGCGATTGTGGGGTTTTAACTTTAACCCCCCCCCCCCGCGGCCCCTTTTCCCCCGCAGAATAATGCTGCCCCCGCCCCCGCCGTGTGCGATTTGCAGATGGATTGGGGAATTAACAAGGCACATGCCCCAAATCTCCGTTCCTCTTCGCTGCCCCGGGGCACGGCTTCAAAGGGAGGCTCGGTGCAATGGAGCAGGCGCTGGAAGAGATGGGAAGTGTTGCAGCTTAACGGGCGCGCATTGTGTGGTTGTTTGGATGGTTGTGTTTTTTTTTTTTTTTTCTTCTCCGTGTGTGTGTTTTTAACTCCCCGCCCCTCTCCCCCCGGTTAATCTCTTAATCGCATTTGTTTCCTCGGGACCGAAAGGAGACGAGCGCTCGTAAACAAGAGCTTGATTGAGACGATGACACCACAATCGCCTCTCGTTTTGTGCGTTAGAAAGGTGGTGTGCTGTGCAAGCCATTCAGGTGTTGAACCACGCGGGCTTCGCAGTTATCTGTCTGTCTATGCTATCTGCTGAGCGCTGAAACGGGCTGGGGATTTGCAGTCTTTCTGATTTGGATCAGGTTTCTCTGTATAACTCGTTCATCCCTGTGGAGAGACATACGTTTCCTTGAGTAGCACTTCATGCACTACTGTGTATAGAGATCGGGCTAATGGGAAAAGAGCTGCCGGTGCAAACCTTCAGCGTAACGAGAGGGGAAATGACTTGCAGAGTATAGGCTATCCTGATTGGTACGTGGGTGCAGATGAGGACGGTGGCTATGATGATCCATGGGAGTAACACTTTCATAGTGAGGTGGTGGTCATGCTGGATTGACTGACCTACAGATTGTTGTGTGACTGATTGACCGTGCCTGTTGTTAACTAGGTCTGTAAGAACGCAAGAACTTTCCATAACACCACTACAGCGTCCTTCCTTGATAACTGTGATTCCCTCTTTAACTATGAGTTCCTCTTGCTCTACTGAGGGGTGAAAACACTTTATTTAGTCACTGTTCTCTCATGTTTATAATACGTAAAGATATTGTATATCCAGACTGTCATGAAATTTGATAGTGCATCCAGCCTGGAAAGATAGAGCCCTTTACATAGGTGTTTATTTACTCACCAATACAGAGCACTCAAGCAAACTGTTGTGGTATCATGGTTTATACCACTGTTTCCTTGAGCTGCAGGTTCCTAAATTTAAATTGAAACCCTGAGTAGATCTCTGCAGTTTCTATTTTAACAAAGTGTTTAGGAAAAATAATACTTCTAGCTTTTAACAGTCTCAGAACAAATTTAGATAAATTTCTGAGGGATACTTCTGACAGTATAGTTAGTTCAATGATATATGAAGAATAATAGTTCTTGTTCTGATATTAAATAAAAGGGTAACATTGAGCCAGAGATGAGTAAAACTGCACTGATGGGGAATTGGTGGCAATTGTGTGTGTCTGTGCTCCTCCTCCCCCCCCAAAAATAGAAGAGGTCCAGAAACAGGAAATGAAAATGATGAGAACATGGAAAGGCTCCTCTATTTAGGAGAAGATGAAAAGATAGGGACTAGTATCTTTAAAGAAGAGTCAAATAAATTAAAGGGAACATGACAGGTATATTAAAATATTGACTAGTATGGAGAAGGTAAGTAAAGTGTTTCTGTTTACCCCTTCTTACTGTGCAGGACCAGAAAACATAAAAGTATTGCCTTTGAATTTCATTGTGAAGCTGAGAGAAAATAGTACTTTTTTTTTTTTTATACAGTGCATAGTTACTTTGTGACTGAGTTCCACTGGGTTATGATTGAAACTAAGAGTTGGGTGGGATTCAAAAGGATTAGACATATGTGTAGTGAGACATCTATAGTTCCATTATATGATGATATATGGAGGTTAAATCCTGCTGCTTTAGAGAGTAAACCAAAAACTGCTTGAGGTTTGGAAGAAACTTTCCCAGGAGCAGTTTATTCCACAGTTCACCGGGATAGGGATTCTTCTGTCTTCCTCTCTGCATCTGTTCTGGACTAGATGGACCAACCAGTGTTCTGAACAAGGAAGGCAAATTCTTCCTTCCTGAAAGTCTTTTTGTTTCCATCCCAATGGCATGGGGATGTATCTATCTAGGTTTCTATATTTGCATCTATGTAGCACCTTCTGTACAGCATTGTCTGTATGCTCTTTCTCTCTTCTTAACCATTTGGTGTGGAGAATTTGGCATTGTGCGCTGTGCAGTCTCATTGCTGATGACAAATGTGAAGTGCATTATTATGACTTAATGTGAACATGAAACTGCTGCAATAGCCACTGTTCCTTTCAACAGGAAATATTTCAGGAACATAGAAATTACCATATTTGATTATACCAGTGGTCCCTTGAGTCCATTATCCTGTCTCTGACAGTGGCAAACTGTCTTCCTAGTGATTCAGTGGAAGGTCCAAGAAACCACATATTTGGCAGATATGGGTTAATCTGCCTCCACATCCGGTCTCTTCTTCATCCGCAACAGTTTGGTTTAAACCTGGAAGCAGGAAGTCTATTATCTCTTCCAAAACTGTTGTCAGCTTTGACTGTTCTAACTGGACTGTTTGGTGCAAAGCAAGGCCCTACACTCAACTTGATGGTGCCTGTTTTTTTGTAACACAATAACGTTTGAATGCCACATCCAATAAATTCTAAAATTTCAGGGAAGGTTCTAGGCATCAATGAGAAGAATACCATATTTTTATGATGAAAATAAGAAAACCAGAAGGGGGCAATGGAGGACACACAAGCCCCTGACATCTAGTTAGCAGATCCAGTAGTGTCATTCAGATCTCTAATTATCTACAGATCAAAGAACCAGTAGATAGCAGCCTTTAGCACCTTCCAGCATCATCCACTCCTCCTCTGCCCCCCCCCTCCAACCTCTACCCTCCCTCGGCTCTGCCTATCCTCCCACTACAATTTAAAATTGTGACAGCCTGGATTAATCATAGCCTGGACAGAAAGAAACGAAAAATAATGAGGGGCCATACAAAGGCCATGATATGGGGAAGAAGGTCATGGGGTGCTTGTGGAGGGATGCAAGTAACCCCTTCTTAACATGCAGCCTTCTAGCTGTTAGGTGCAACTATTTAGCTCAACTGCTTTTATGGGCCTCATCACTAGTACCTGTGCACCTAACAATTGTTAATGTATTTCTCCACACAACACCCTTGTGAAGTAAGGAAGTACTATTTGTCAGATGAGGGACTGAGACGGTAAGTGACTTTACCACATCTTATATGGCCTTGGACGAGTAGGGACTTGAACCCAGGTTTCCTGGTCTCTGGCTAGTGCCCTAACTACTGGACCATCCTTCTTTGTTTAAAGCACGTTTGAATCTTGGTAGTTTTTAGTCTTAGTGACCTCTTCTGGCTATGAGTTCCACAGTTTAACTTGGTGTATGAAAGCTTTTCAAGGGAGGTAGAGTTGATGTGACTCGTAGTACTGAAGATGGTATATTGAAATGCTACTGATTTTTTTCTGATTAGATCATAAATCTGCTTAATGTTTTAGGAAACCATAATTCCACCTTGCGCCATGTATTTATTTTCATATAAATATAAACAATACTCATCTTTTGTGTAATAGTAACCCTGTATTTTAGTTTTGCTTGACATTCACGGCTTAGATTTAAGCACCTCATTAATAACAAAATTGACTATATTGGTAGCACTGAGAAGACTTAAAACAAGTGATGTATCTGTATGGTAGGACTTTTGGTGTAGTCTGCATTATTAAAGGTGCAGTATCCCATTTCAATTAATGCATCTCAATGTCACTGAAAGAATAGATCAGCCTTGCACAGTATAATGGGTTACTACAGCGAAACAACAAATCTCATTTAGTCCAGTGGCTTGTAATTTTGAAATGTCAGTGCTCTCTGATATGCTGATTTTTTCTCAAATTAGAATAACAGTTTGAAAGAACATCTGTAAAAGCAGTTATTCACACCACAACAATTCATATGAGGATAATACAGCAGTAAAGTTACACTTAGTGCTGGAGTAACTCCTGGGGTATTGTTCTCTCATAATTGTACCTCTTAGGCTTCCCTCATTATGCTGTATATTCACTGTCGGGACTTTGTTCAACTAGGGATGGCTTTCCCATAGACTTGTACTACTTAGAAAATTTGCCAGGTGATAAGAATGCTTCCTTTATGGCTACTTCGTAATAATAAACAAGTCCTGTTTTCTCTCTCCTCCATACTCTGAATTTGCTGTCCCTGGAGGTGTGCACACTGCACAGGCTAAAAAAAAAAAAAAAATCTCTTAATAAAGATCCCCCCCCCTCCCCATTTAAAATAAAAAATAAAATAAAATAAAAAATCAATGTTCCCTCTAGAGATGGCTCTTGTTAGGGAGAAATTTCCCAGACTAGTGGCTTGTCGGGTTACTGGGCAAACCAGCTGACTTTTTAAGGCCATGTCTCTATGTACAGCACTGTAGCAGCCCAGCTGCAGCGTGTGTGGTGAAGATGCTTTATGCCAACAGGGAGCGCTTTCCCACTGTCATTAAAAACAAACAAACAAAAAAACCCATTTCTGCAAACAGCAGAAGCTGTTGGTGGGAGAAGCTGTGCACGTGAGTACTTACGTCGGTGTTAATATGTTGCTCCGGGGGATGGACTCGTCATACCCCAAGCAACATAAGTGTTGCCAACATAGGCTGTAGTGTAGATCAGTGGCTCTCAATCTTTACAGACTCCAACCTTTCAGGAGTCTGATTTGTCTTGTGTACCCCAAGGTTCACTTCGCTTAAAACTACTTTGCTTACACAATCACATAAAAAGACAATAGTGTCTCAGCCACACTGTTACTGAAAAATGGCATCCTTTCTCATTTTTACCATCTCATTATAATATAAATCAATTGGAATATAAATAT